TTATTTATGTTATTCTAACCCCAATAAAACACAACTAACATGAACAGACAATCAGCCAGCTCCTCGTGCCCGCCTCACCTCCTGTCCTCCTCCTCGTCCTATGATGTGCCCAAAACACTTCACCTAGGAGGCTTCCTGGTTCAATCACCTCAGCTGGCTCTGCTGGGTGTGAAGGAGCTCTAATTTGGAAATCCCTTCCAAATTAGGGAGTTCCTCACCTTTACCTGCCTGATGATGAGGCAGCTCCTTTCTGTTTATCTAGTCAATCTCATTTTTTCAGTCACAGTTAAAATTACAAGAAATGTAACACAGTACAATATATCAAGAAAATAAACTAAAATTCAGTGGACAAAAACATGATGTCATCTCTGACAGTGACTTCCCTGCTTGCTGTTTACCACCATGAATGAGCCAGTCTGACTTGTAAAAGTGCAGGATGTCTTCCCCCTGCTAAATATCCCTCATCAGAGGAGCAGGTGATATTCATGGTCCACTATGTTCAAAAAAAGTAAAAGAAAATTGATGACAGTACACACAATAGACAAATTGAGGTTTTAAATGGTGCACTGATTTGTAATCAAAAGCATTTAAATGACATCACCACCAGGGTCAGCTGTTGTTCAGTTGGCAAGGTCATATCTGTATGATTGATATATGTGAAGGGAAGAGACTTCTTCTCTCCCCCATCTGACAAAATTAAGCTTTTTGTCTCCTTATTCATCCATTCAGATTTAACAAAGTCTCTTTCACAGCTCTTTACTCATCCAAGCTACACTAATGTATGCAGTGTTGGAAAGATTTCTTTTCATCTCTACAAGGTTAAAGATTAATGTGAAACGTTGCATGTGTCCCGAGTTTGAATATTTTAAACTGTGAAATAAGGCTGAAGAATACAAAAAAACCCATTGACTGGAAACAGCAAATATAAAACTCACAGCAGTTATCTACAGTGATTACTGTGAATAACCTTTATTGATGTAATTTGGATTAAAGAGGAATGTTTTTACTACTGAACAAACGTCAAAACAAATATGTTGTAAGTAAGGTGATTAACCACTAGGTGTCACCAGAACATTTTGATGTTAAACTTTAGCACAGATAACATGCACAACCTTAGCATAAATAAATGCAAAGGTGTTGCATGTCCAGCATAGGGTACTTGATGGGGTTTTTTTAATGTTATTTTGGGGTTGTGCGTTGTGTATGTGTGGGCAGGCAGTGTCAGGATGTGGTTTAAATGTGTTAGAGTTTTCTTAGAGAAACAAAGTCAACTTTAAAACAGGACCATGATCGCACCAGTCTGCCTCATGATCAGTAAGAAAACTGACTTTTTATTTCATATTTGTCAACAACAGATCTTTGTTTGTTTTTACATTTATAGCTTGCATGCAGTTTTTCTCATTTGCAATGAGTCAATTCTTAAATGATGGTTAAAGTTTTAAAGACCTTTTGAAATCTTTAAAACACTTTGCTACATGTGAACATCAGAAAGCATATTTGTCTTTTTCTTCTGTAAATCATTTGAGAAATGAACTGTGTTGGCTTAGAGCCAAAGGGTTAAAGGGTCTTGTGAGTGGAGTTTGTGTCTTTGTTTGGACTGTGTGAGTTCCTGGTAGTCTAACTTCCTCCCACGGTCCAAACACATGCCTGTTAGGTTAACTAGTTATTTTAATTGTTCACAGGTTTAGCTCTGTGATGGACTGATGACTTGAGTCCTCGGGTGTAATCTGTCTCTAAGCCCCTGTTAGCTGCGCAGATTCCTGATTTTGTGCATTTTATGAGTTTGAATTTGAATTCCTTTCATACACGTTAATGCGACATCAGCTGTCATGGTTGTTATAACTCCCATCACTTCATACATGGTGGAATATTTACATTAATTCGTTTTGCCTGAAGCTAACATTAACCTTTCTTGAACATTCATGGTCAGAAGCTTCCATACACTCATCAGGGGAGTGAATGTTGTGGTAATTGTGGGCTTTTAATGGTTTCTTCAACTGTTCTTACATCTTTAATGACTTTAAAAAAATAAACAAAAAAAGGTTGAAATATTTGGTTAACATTTAACAAATATTAGTGACAGCCAACAACAAGCTGGAGGCATAATTCTGATGGGAAGTTTGACCTCTCTTATTGGCAGAATATTTTGGTTCTGGGTCTTTGACCCAGCTCTTTGAGGTTACTTTTTTAGGCTAACATATTTGTTGATGTTTGATTTTTTTGCTATGTTAAGAAGTTTTAGGTTTGAGTTTTGGTTCTTCTAATATCATTGAGTTTACAGCTTTCCCCACTTATGTCTGTGTCTGCTCGCCTTCTGTGATCTCGTTCCCCTTCTCTCTGTGTCTTGTCTCCCTTAGTTGTCCCAGGTTTTCCTCCTTGTGTTTCATCCTTGTCTCATCTGTCCTTCATGTGCATCCATGTGTGTTCTCCACAGCCCATCATGTCTCTCGCCCTCTCCATTTTCTCTTTTTGTCTTGTTCCCAGTAGCGGTTTTAGATACGGGCGACACGGGCGGTTGCCCGGGGCGGCATCGTGGTGGGGGGTCGGCATCACGGGCATCGG